GTAATATTGAATAAATTGGGAAGGGGGTCAGGTTTAGCCACCACGGGTATCCGCGTCGTTTCTCCTTATTTTATTTCAGAGAGCTCTGACGACACCAGTTGCACGTTGTCAATACAAAACCTATTGTTATGACGAACTGTTTGCTTTATATAATTATATTATTTAAAAAAACGAATTTGAATCGTTTATGCAGAAGTTAAATTTAAAAATGGAAGGAACGTGATACCGCATACTGTATTTACTGTGTAAATATTTTCAAGCGTGTAAGATCAAACATGATTTCTTTTGCTTTAATATCTCTCCCCCTGAAGGCGGACCGCCCGTAATCCTAAACTTCGACTGTAATTGTTTGTACTTCGCACTGCATAGCCACGCGTTGAAACCATATAAAATATGCTACTTTGACAGCGACATGTGGTAAAACACTTTTACCCGGTACTTAACTTTGACTTGCAAACACGTATAATAGTTGCACATATTCATCAGTAAAGAATGTTTAACAAACTCAGAGACGTTGTTTATCCTCTAAGTTTTAAACTATTTTTTCACTGGGATGGATGAATATTATTCGCTGACATGATTATAACTCAAATTTTTCAAATGGAAAATACGTTCTACTGTTTCTGGCATGCGTCGTGCTATTTCAGTAAAGATTTAAACCAACAAATATTTTATTGACTTACAATTCATCTGAAGAGCAATGATGACAGATCAGGATATGAAGTTTTTTCAGTCATGCGTGAACCTGATCCTGTGGGTTTATAGGACGTTTTGCCACCAGCTGAAGCCCCTGTCGCTCCAACTGAATCAGCTATCGATTCGACGCATGTTTCTGATGGTAGCGTTGTGGTTCCTTCACCTACGACAGAAACAGCTGCCGGCCCTGCATCGTCCGTTGTGGAAGCGACCGGCACAGATGCGATGAAATTCTTGCGTTTCGCAGGTAGCGTTGTTCGCGTTGTATTGATGATTCATAACCGTCATTGTCACCTTGGCCACTTTGTAGAGAAACACCGCACCGTTCTGAACCAGATCCTGCGGCAGTCGACGCAGCACTTAGCCGATGGACCGTTCGCCGTATTGGTCAGCTACACGCGTATACTGGATTTCGATATCAAGCGGAAGTACTTTCGCAAGGAGTTGGAAAGAATCGATCAGGGCTTCAGGTAGCCACCCGTATTTTCGTCTTTCCAGTGTGGTGTGTAATTTTCGTCATGTTGTAGAAGGGAAGACGTTGTGGTTCGAATTCGCCGCGATCACGTGTTTCAGGACAGCTTCCGCGAACTGTTCCGTCTCCGTAGCCATGAATGGATTTCACGGTTTTACATCATATTTGAAGGTGAAATTGATAACTGATTTTGCGCTTTTGTTTTATCTGAACCAACCCAAGAAGAGAGTTGTCATTCCTGAGTTTAAGAGTAGTACATGTTTAGAAAATGAGTTGACCTTTCTCTTTCCTCATGCTGGTACTGGGAATTCATAGATAATGGAGTAGTTGCATATGGTTACCAATATGTCCGACAGCACCATCAAAGACGACGGTGAGGTTAAACCCAAGATGTGTTGTAAAATGAGCATTATTCAGCAAATCTCGCAGTTTAAATACCTCTGATGAAGGTAAATGCGGAACAGGCGGATTAAACCTTAGGATCTTGTTTCACTTGCAAAGGCTAGTCGAAAATCTGGACTGGAAAACGAATATCAATCTCTGTCAATATCTAACCTTACCTGTGCGATCAAGGACGGTTTTGCTCTTCAGATTTCGAACGCATCTATACCAAGACTCAACTCTGTCCGACATCACTCATTAAGAATGCGAAACGTGCTGAAGATTCGATCGTACGATTGTATAAGAAACGACAGCATTCTTGCATTGACTGACCTCGTTGAAATTTTGCGTGAGATGTGTGACAAGCGGTTAATGTGGTTCAATCACTTCAAAGGAAGATACGATGCTGCGCTGGTTCGTCAGCTTCTTAGGTGACAAAAGACTAAACATGCATGATGAAGGACAAGTAGATTGCGCATTATACGGCATATGAAATTAACGGAGACTAATTTTGAATCAGGAATCTTTCCTTCATCGACGCACTAAAAAGTCTCATGATATCAAAATACGAAATGTACGGTATTTTGAGATTTACTGATATCGTGATACTGCATTTTGGCATAGTGACTAAAGACAATAATGAAGTTGCAAACAGCATATCGTAAAGAACGGTATGTAGAAAGAAAATCTGATGCAGACTATGCAGAATCGTCTATGGAATAAAGCGTAAATCTTTCGTTGTATGATTACGAAAGTTTCGATAGTTTTTGATCATTTTTCCTTAGGTGGCATTTATCGTCCTGTCTCTATATACAGCTTGCATTGCTTTTTACAGTCGTCTAGTTTCGTCTCTGAGTGCTTTTGTTAAATTGGTATTCTCGTTCTAGGTGAAGAAGGTCAAGATGCAGGCGGCCTGCTTAGAGAATGGTTTTCGGTGATAACGAGGGAAATCTTCAATCCGAATTATGCACTTTTCATGACTTCTCCCGGCGACCGCGTTACCTACATGATAAATCCGTCATCGTATGTAAATCGCGAGCACCTGGATTATTTCAAGGTACTGTTTCGTGGAATTTTCGTTTGTTTTGCTCTTTTGATTTGAACGCTGTTTTTTAGTTTATCGGCCGCCTTATCGCCAAGGCCGTGTATGACAACAAGCTGTTAGACTGCTATTTTACGCGCGCCTTTTACAAGCACATCTTAGGAAAACTTGTCAAGTACGTTTGCTGGCATTTAATTACAGAGACAGGGATATGCCGAGGATTAGAAGGGAATTTTGGAGTGTCTTATACTACTTTTCTTCACTGCATATCGCCTATTATTACAAAGTATATCTTTCTGCATGTTTTTCTTCTTTCATCACACCAAGTTTATAACGATATCCAGTTGACTTCTCTTAACTGATATGCTGTACTGGCAAATTCGATGGTCAGGCAGTTTCGATGACTGCTTATTCTCGGGAGGCACATTAAGCGTTCCCGATCCTGTGCCAGTGTTACACATTCGCTAAAACGAAAAGCTAGTCTTCAGCAGAGCCTATCGACATCTTATCCGTCCTCGGGTTCTTCTGTCGGTCGGGAGGTTAGCATCTGTTTCGTCGTCCTTTCTATAGGCAGTCTCAGCCGTGGCTTCTCAGTGAGGAGAAGCAGCATCCGTACACCAAGATACCCTAGAATATCTATACTCCGGACCTTGTCGAGACACGCGGACCCAGTGATTCGTCTCAGGAAGCCGATTTCAACCGCTTGTACCGGTAAATTGAAGTTTTCAGCTATAGCCCACGACTCATGACTGTCGATGTGCACGAGTATCAGTATCGAATTGAACACTTAGTCTTAGTCTTCAGACTCAGTTTTACTTAGTCACAACGGTTTAAGCTGGTTCACGGCCATTCCAAATTCACAGGTCAATTACTTCCTCCTATATTCCATCACCAGTAGACACAACCCTGAGGAATTAAACATCTTCAGTTGTATAACTGCTTCTCTGTTTATTTGGATTAGTCGTACAGACATCAGACTGTGAATTTTCTCACATGACTGTTTTCAGTTGTCTTTTATTGGCATTTGGCAGTTTTAATGATTGTTTTCCATTGCGATTAATTATGTAGCTGGTAGCGTTAATATTTTTACAGTTTATTCTTATAGAGAAAAAGATATTCAGCTTTGCAAATAAATATACTTGAGGTACATACATAAATATACATTCAGCGTTACGTTTTAGGTTGATACATGTTCATCGTTTTGTATTTCGTATTTTTCTTTTTATATTTTGTAAAAATTGTATAATTACAGATTATGCACATTTGTAAATTTTGCGTTAATCGGATTCTAGATCTATCATGCTTTATATGAGCAGGCCCAAAGTCATCGATGATGTTGTTTTACTGACTAATGCAATTCATATTTATTAAAACTCGATAAATTAATTGTGCAGTAGTACGTGAGCTTTTTGATTATAATAAAACAGCAGGTACACTTAGCAGGTTTATTTTATGATCCTATAGCCAACACCGATTGTTGTACCACAAAACCTTTACCGTGTAATTTATAGCATTTTTCCTTAGAAGCTAGGTTTGCGACAGTCCGATTTCCGGCAGTAATCACTGAAATTGTGTACCCCAGCTAAAGATTGAACTGTTAGTTAGAATTTTATCAATTCAGGATGTTTATCACGTTTTTTTTTATTTTCTTTTACCTGGGCTTGTATGATAACCAACAAATTAACGCAGTCTTCCGTTCTTAGGTACACTGACATCGAATCTGAGGACCCTTCATTCTACCAGTCTCTCGTTTACTTGCTGGAAAACCCGGTCTCTCAGCTGGGCTACGACCTGACTTTCAGTCTTGAGGTACGA